ATCGCTACTAGGAGCAAGAAGCTACTAGGGGCTCCTGGCCTTACTACGTACTAGGAACAAGAAGCTAGTAGTAACCAAGGGTCCTTGCTACTAGAATGTCTCAAACGTGGCGTCCACGTCCAGGTTCCAAAGACACTGGAAGCGCCTCCCGAAGCCGGTCCGGAAAGGCGCTGTGCAACGGGTAGATCGAGAGGTGGCACTGTCATCCCAGGGCATCGTGCGGTGCTTGCTTTAGAGCCACTACGACTAGGTATGCAGCCTTTAAGGATGGCCCCATCGTAAGTACTACAAGCCACTGGACGCAAAATCTGTGACTTGAGCCGTATGAGCACCCTGGACGTCCATGGGCACCCTGGACGTCCCCTATGCTAGTAGGAGCGATGCGATCTGCATGGTGCATACACTCACAAAGCCCCACTGTAATACTTCAGCGTTGGACACCATGACGACACTTGACCAAAAGGATCCCCATGGTTTTCATGTTTGAACTTCTCGCCATGCACCGCATGGCTCAAGGCATCTCACGCCACAGCGAAAAGAGCCGCTGTCACTACATGGTAGGTTGGTCGAGTAGTTCAGTTGGTAGAACGGAGCTATGGAAGCTGCAGCTGCTTCGACGACCTCCACGGGTACAAGTGCGGCCGAACCTGGGGCGGTGAGCGGCCACACGACGTGGCAAGGTGACGATGCGACCTGGTGGTCCGGGAGAGGCGGCAATGGCGAGGCGAATGGGGTCGCTTCCATGGGGCATGAAGCCGAACCTGGAGCATCGGGCGCGGCAGCAGCAGCAGCGGCAGCGGCAGCGGAAGCAGCCACCGGGAATGAACGTCAGGATCCATGGCAGTCGGCAGACCCTTGGTCACAGGCGAGTGCGATTGGGGCTACTCCTCCTGGGCCGATGTGGTCTACAACCTGGACTTCCTCCTGGTCATCCGCTCCTTGGCATAGCAATGGATGGCAGTGGTCCTCCTGGGACTGGAGTCAGACAGGTTCCTCGGGGGTCCACTACAAGGGTGACTTCACTGACCCCCCCACTTGGCCTGGTTGGAGTCACCGGAAATACTGGGTCCAGGCCGTTCGGCGATGGGACAAGTCGTCGGATCTCCCCGTCCACAAACGGGCCGAGAAGGTCCTTCGGTCCTTTGGTTGGGAACTCCAACCAGACTTCGAGCACGTGCCCGAGAGCGTCTTGGCCTCTTCGGCGTACCTGGACGTCCTGATCGAGATCCTCAACAACAAGGCCGGAGTTCGTGAAGATGACGAGAAACGCCGCGCCTTCAAGGCGGCGTTGATGGAGCAGCAAAGGCGTCGGGACGAGACTCTAGCTCAGTTCGCCGTTCGAAGACAGAGAGACTTCACCCATGCAGCGTCCTTCGGAGTGGCTATTCCCGAGGCCTTTCGCGCCACCATGTTACGAGAAGGGGCTGGACTGTCCGAGCAGAACCAGCAGAATCTGGTGGCCCTCCTCCAAGGACATGAGGATGAAGTCAATGCAGTAGCCAAGGCACTGAGCAAGCTGGATGTTCGCTCTGACCGGATTGCAGCCTTCTCTGAGGTCTCGCCAGGAGTTGAGAACTTCATGTCATCCAACGAGGAGAATCCCGACGATGACGTCCTGGAGTTCCTTGGAGCCGAGATCAGCCTTCCCAATGAGCGAGTGAACTTCAAGAAGCTCGGAGTCAGCATGGAGATGAAGCGCCTGAGCTCCGGGCACCGAACTATTTCTTTGTTTTCCTGGGAGCAAGGGATCGAGTTTCCCATCCCACCTGAGCTGGTCAGCAAGTATCAGTTGTCCTCAGGAGACTTCAACCTAGTGTTCCCCTCCGCGTACATGAAAGAGAGCTCATCGCCGCTTCGGACTTCGTCGTCGGTGTTGAGCAGTAGCCTAGCAGCAGAAGATTGCAGCATTGATCCATGTTTTGAGCCCAATCACAATTTCACCAGTGGACACCGGTTGTTAGATGAGGACTTCACGCCAGACTGCTCTCATGTCACGCAACTTCAACCAGCAGTTCAGACACTTCATGTGAGACTTGCAGATGAGCTTCCACGATCAGTTGCTCTTGTACCACCGCAGCTCTCAGGCTCAACTACCGTGCCTATGGGCAACGTTGTGACCCGCAATTCGCAATTCGCTCCTGTCTCCTCCCTTCATGATGCAGCACGACTCTCGAACGAGCCAGGGGGAGACCACTCCTTCCACCGAGCGTGGATGCGTCTCTTGGAGAATCTCGCGAACAAGCTCGAGGCCAATCGCGAGGGCTACAAGAAATTGGTCAAGGCAGAGCTGAGGACCAAGAGCACCTTCTCGAACCGGACCAAGTACCTGGACACCGAGTGCCAGAACCCTGGAAGGTGCATCCACCCCTCGAATCAGGTGGCCTCACGGGCGAACCAGTACGCATCATGGACGGCCTGCCTGCAGTGCGGGGCTCGACTGAGCTATGCCTCCAAGAAGAAAGGACCCGGCCCGGCGCCCTCTGCCAGACGACGATCGGCTGCGTCGAGCTCACAGGTGACTCACGGCTACCCGTTTCCGGCACCGACGCCACTTGGTCACCAGTGGCAGCCCCGAGTCCGTGCAGGTGGTGGATCAGGCCATGGCAATGATGCAAGTGCAGGGCACCCAGTTTGCCCAGGCTCTGACCTCCATCAACCAGTCCTTGCAGGAGCTTGCTCGCGGCCAGAGCCAGATGATCCTCATGAACCAGGCCAACCGAGAGATGACGGAGGCCGCCCAGGAGCTCTTGATGCAGACCCAGGGGGCTATGCCGATGGAGGAGGATCAGTGGTCGACCGTGGCCACGGAGGTGTCAGGAACTCACTGGTCCCCGACGACCAACGAGACCGACGACCCGGACTCGGAGGACAATCCGAATCGACTGTCTCCTACTCGCGAGTGAGGAGTCGCTGGCCGGTGTGGCTAGCCATTCCTGGGGCCCTAGCCACGTCATCCGTCCTTACCTGGCCTCAGGTGCAACCCTCCGTGCAGACCGAGCTCAGCGATTTCGGCCTGGGAGACACCACGGTCATCGTGCACTATGATCTGGGTCATGCTGATTGCGACACTGGACGACATGTTTACAGCCAGGACGCCATCAGCATCTCCTGCAGTGAGTCTGGCCCTGAGCAGGCCCTCGGTGGAAGTTTTCGATTACCTGATCATGACCCTGAGCAGGTCCTCAAAGGCGGAGGACATCATGGAGGACCCGGTCTAGGCCCTGAGCAGGCCTCTGTCACTGGCCCTGAGCAGGCCCTTGGAGGAGTTTCTCAAGAACCTCTTCAGCGCTTCGAGCGCGGGGAGCAGCCGCGGGTGTGCGACTCTCTCAGTCAAGCCAGTTCATCACTACCTCCCGGACCTGCTGGAGTACAAGATTCTGCTCCAGGTCGACTACCGGACACTATGAGCTCGTCGGATGCGAGCGGGGAAGCCACGGAGCTTGAGCTGGGTCCACCACCGTGGATTCCAACATTTCTCCAGAAGCGGCGGTCTTCGACCCTGGACCCTCAATGGTCTACCATATGGCGCCGAGTGATGGATGAGCAGACCAAGGCAATTCTATACAATGGTCCCTGTGGTCCATCTCTTCCACCCGAAGCCAGGCAGCCACCGCCATGACAGAGCAGTGGGGCGCCCCTCAAGAGTTTCTGGAGCGACTCATGTTGGCGGACGAGAACTCTCCGATCCTGGGCTTCTCTGAGACTGGGAAGCCATCCACCTCTGGTCCATTTTGGGCCTTTAGATCAGCCTTGGGAGAGGACGACATTGACGATGGCCTACGAGAGATCAGCTTCAAGGCACATGAGCACGACCTGCGACAGTGTCATCGCAATCTCTCCTGGCTGACCATGAGAATGAAGAAGATGGAGGACTTGGATAGGCTGGACTTTGTGGAGCTCTTCTCACCCTCGCGCGTGGCGCCCTATGTCCAGCGACACGGCCTGCAGGTGGACTCGAACCTCATCTATGACATCACTGCCGGCTGGGACGCTCGCAAGAAAGCCTGTCGGCAGTCCTTTCGGGCCATGCAACGGAAGAGAAGACCTCGAGTGCTGATGGCTTCACCAGAGTGCAAGGCCTTCTCGCAACTTCGACACATTAATAAGTGCCGGGCAGATCCTCAACATCTATGCCGAGTGCTGAGCGAAGGTCTCCTGATGTGGAACTTCAGTCTGGAGGCGGTAAAGACTCAGATTGACCAGGGCAGCTACTTCGGATTGGAACACCCAGCAGGAGCGGCTTCCTGGTCGCTTCCATCTACTCAGCAGCTGCTCCGGAGGCCCGATGTGGCGCTCATCACATTCGATCAGTGCGCATTCAACCTGTCCGTGGTCCCGGACGGGACAAAGTCGCGGAAGGCGACCAAGGTTGCCACCAACAACCCATGGCTGGCATATGAGCTCTTCCTGGCACAGTGTCAAGGAGATCACCCTCACAAGACGCTCATCGGGGGCCTTCCCCGAAGGGCTCAGGCCTACCCTTCAGAATTCTGCGAAGTGATTGCCATCAGCACCAAGAAGGCAATCCTCAGCACCGCTCCACCTAGCTTCATGGGCATGAGAGAAGGGGACAAGGACTTCGCTGTCACCAGAAGGACTCCCGCCAACCATCAGGTCAGCTTCTTTGGAGAGGACGATGAAGAGGACGACAACCACGATCCCGCGCTGGCCGACGAAGAGAGCCCTGAACAGGACGGAGGCGAACTGCCTAAGCTAACCATGGCCCAACGGAGGCTCGTGCAGAAGGTCCACGTGAACACAGGACATCCTGATCGTGTCCGGATGCTGAGGGCTTTCAAAGCGGCAGGAGCTCTTCCTCAGGTCCTCCGCTACATCCGAGATGAGTTCAACTGCGAGGACTGCTCCCTGAAGCAAGGTCCAGACAACCGAAGACGTGCTCAACTTCCGAGGACCTTTGCCTTTAACCGGGTGCTCTGCGTTGACTATTTGTACGTGAAGTTCAAAGGAACCCAGGTTCCCATTTTGAACATGGTGGACGCAGGAACCTCCTTTCAGATCGCAGTTCGTGCACCGGAGGGAGGCACCCGAGGAGGCACACCCAGCTCCTCATCTACGTGGAGGCTCTTCGTGCAAACGTGGATGCGCTACTTTGGTGCACCTCAGATGCTCATCTGCGATGCAGGGAACGAGTTCAAGGCGAACTTCGAGCGAGGCCTGGAGCTCTGCGGCATCCTGCAACACGTGATTCTCCCTGAATGCCCCTGGCAGAATGGGCGGGCAGAAAGACACGGGGGCTGGCTGAAGAATCGCCTAGACGCCGAGCTTCATGGAGGAAGGTGCAACCTGGAGACCCTCGAGGAGCTGGACGAGTTTCTCGCGTCCCTGACCAGCGTCAAGAACAGATGGCTCTGTCGTGGCGGCTACACTCCGGCTCAGCTGGTCTTCGGAGAGCTTCCCAGGATTCCCGGAGATCTATTGGCGGAAGACGAGCTGGGGCTACATGGTCTGCATGACGCCCACAACGATCCTTCAGCTATTGATGAGGCCGCTGGAGAATATCGAAGAAGACACGAGATCCGGGAGAGAGCCAGGCAGTTGGCAATGCAACAGTCCAGCACCGAGGCCATTCAAAGATCTCGACATGCTGCAACCCATCAACAACGACATTGGTCTCCTGGCCAGTGGGTCTACGTCTTCCGCAGAGCCAAGCCGACGCAGGATCTACACCTGCGAAGTCGCTGGGTCGGTCCTGGAGTGGTTGTCCTGGCAAACAACGACACGGTCTACGTCGGCATGCGATCTCGCTTATGGAGGTGCTCGCCTGAGCAGATCCGGGCAGCCTTGCCCAGCGAGGTCCTGGGAAGAGACTTGATCACCAACCCAGGTCTTGGCGAACTTCTCCGGCAAGTGGTCTCCGGAACTCATACGGGGGCCGTTGACGTCAGCAAGGAGGGACCTCCAGAGCCAGAAGACCATCTTGGTCCTGTGAGAAGAGATGAGGCCGGAGTGGTGGCCAGGAGGAGACTCACACGAGATCAAGCCTGCCAGATGAACCTGAAGCTCATCAGCGTTCTGCTCCCTCCGAAGGTGGCACTGTTCCTGCGGGACTACTACCAGTGTCTCCAGCTCCGATGATCAATGAGCAGGTAGCACCACCTCCAGGTCTTGGAGTGCCCGAGCAGCCATCTCGAAGGACATCTATCGAGGAGCCAGCCGCCGAGCCTTCCGTGCCTTTCAGGAGCAGTGCTGACCTGCAGCGAGGAGTGTCTCAGGAATCAGAAGAGAGCAATGGGAGGTCACGAACTCCGCCTCCGAGTCGACAGATCGAGCCCATCGAGGAGGAGCCAGCTGCTGTTGAGGAGAGGCCTGCCAAGACAGCTCGAGTGGAATCCACCACTGCGCCCTCGCTCGAGCCAGCACCATCTACAAGAGCTCCTGGGACACCGATCGGAGGCTTGATGAGCCGAATCCCTCGACAGTCTTCACCATCAGCACCATCTTCCTCTTCTGTGCCCACTCCATTGGAGCTCACACCAGGAGAGACACTTCCCTTAGCCGGCAGAGTGGCCCACCAGGTCGATGAGTTCAATCAGCTGTCAAGTCGACGCCATGCCGGCGATGAGGATGAGACTGAGCATCAACTGTGGAGAGGCACCTACTTCAACTACCAGCTTGGCGACGAGGCCCTCAGTCTCGATGGGCAAGGGAATTGGACCTATCTGACCAAGCGCAACGACGAGGTCTCCCTCAAGGACATGAACGAGGAGGACAAGAAGCTGTTCGACGCGTCAGATGACACTGAATGGAACGCCATCCTGGGCACCCAGGCTGTTCATGTCATTGTGGGAGAGCAGGCATCGGCAGCTCGAAGGAGATGGCCGGACAGGATTCTGAGCTCCCGGATGGTTCGCCGCCGCAAACCTCAACCAGAGCTGCACTCCTGGAAGGCCAAGTCCCGATGGTGCGTTCATGGTCACCGAGATCCAGACACGGCAGAGCCACAGTCAGAAGGATTGGCCATGTTCCTCCAGGTGGCGGTCAACGAGGGCATGCTCTGCAGTTTCGCGGACGTCAAGAACGCCTTCTGCCAGTCACGACGATTGAATCGAGCCGCTGGTCCACTCTTTGCAGAACCCTGTGAGGGCTTGAAGCTTCCATCTGGAGCGCTGATCTCCATCGATGTGCCGGTCTACGGGTTGGATGACGCTCCATTTGAGTGGAGGATGACTGTCACTGATTTCTTGGTGAATGACCTCCAGTTCGAGCGCAACCTGGTGGAACCTTGTTGGTTCTCTCGTTTCGAGGCCGGGAAGCTCAAGGCTCAGATCATGGTTGAAGTGGACGATTTCATCGTGGCTGCTGGACCGGAGGAACACGCCAAGATCAAGAAGGCGCTCACCACCAAGTTCCACTTCGGCAAGTGGGAGGATCGAGAGGCCGAATATGCTGGCAGACACATTAGGACGACGGCCGAAGCCATATACATTGACCAAGGGAAGTACATCACCGAACAGATTCATCCCATTCCCTTGGCGCGAGGCCGTCGCAGTCAAGCTGACTCTCCCCTGACCAGTGAGGAGTTTCAGGCCTTACGATCCCTGATCTACAAGATCAACTGGGTCGCCCGCGAGAGTCGTCCTGAAGCCTCTGGTCTTGCCTCCCTCATGGCAGGTCGACTGGGACATGCTCTTGTGTCCGACGTGGCCATTGTGAACAAGTTCGTGAACTTCTTGAGGTCTACGGCAAGTCGCCCTTTGATCCTCTGGCGCTACGACCCGGAGGAAATGTGCTTCATCGCCTGCTCCGACGCCGGGGGCATCAATGTGCAGGGAACTGACCAGCTGGATGAAGATGGGCTGCCTCAAGATGCAACTCAAGGAGCATGGATGGTCCTGGCTGCTGAGCGTCTCCCCGAAGGCAAGCGTCCAGTTCGAGCCTCACCGATCACATGGCGCTCGTCTAAGCTGAAGAGGAAGGTGTTCAGCACTTTCGGGGGAGAGACGCAGGCCATGTTACAAGGGGTGAATGAGGTGGACTGGCTCCAGATCATGTATAGGGATGCCACCAAGCACGACGTGCAGTTGAGCTCCTGGCGGAACTCTTTGAGCCCACACATGGTGGTGATGCGGGGTCACTGCACTCTTGGCGGGCGTCAACAACAATGCTCCGTGACGGATGCCAAATCCCTCTTTGACTGTCTGTTGAGAGAGAATCCAAGTGGAAAGCAGGACCGCAAGTCCTCCCTGGAACTCGCCATCATCTTGCGTGACCTGCAAGACACCCGGAGCATGGTTCGTTGGGTCCCGCACCAAAAGATGCTCGTCGACTGCATGACCAAGCTGGATCCCATGAAGGCCAACGACGCTATGACCCAGTTTCTACGATCTGGATGGCTGAGCTTGGTGGACATCTCCGAGGAGCTGGACAAGCGGAAGGACGACCCGACCTACAAGAGGCGGAGCCACCTGGCTTCCAAGAAGCGGCTGCTGAATGAGTATGAAGGCCAGATGAGCCAGTTTCTTAGTCACCTGATCCTTTTGGCCAACAAGATTGGGGGGGGACTGTAATACTTCAGCGTTGGACACCATGACGACACTTGACCAAAAGGATCCCCATGGTTTTCATGTTTGAACTTCTCGCCATGCACCGCATGGCTCAAGGCATCTCACGCCACAGCGAAAAGAGCCGCTGTCACTACATGGTAGGTCGGTCGAGTAGTTCACCCACCCTTCCTAAGCAAAAAATCCAACATGACAAGCATCATCCAACCTTATCAGACAACTGAAGGGCTTGACTGACCCTGTAGACATCCCAAAATGTCATCCACTGAATTTCTTCAGCACCCCCATTCCTCTCGTGCACAAAGTTCTGCCTGACAGTGCTTCCTTGGCTTCTGCTGGCTGTGGGCGCCTTCATCTCCGGCATGGCCATCTTCACTCTTTGCACGCGCAGCGGGGCTCCGGCGGGGCGGGTGGTGAGGGACACCGGGACCTAATGGGAGTGTCGCCCTTGCAATCAAGTACAGTGAGACCAGTCAGTGTTTGTAGTATGTAGCTTGAAGGGTGCACATGCGCGCAGAAGACCCCACCAACTAGCACAAACACTGATCAAACACTGAGTCTTGCAGATAAATATCGTCTCCGAGTCTCTTTTCTCAGGTTGATGATGTTTTGCCCTAGTTTGCAGATGTGTGAAGTACATCAAGTGGATTGGATCTAGACCATGCAGATCGCCGAGAAGGATCATTTTTCGTGGGTGCCTCATGTTGCTGTCAGGATAAGGGTGCCGAATTCAAGGCGGAGCCCTTCTTGGAGATACCATCCCCATCCTGAAGGCCTTCAATGAGCGCACTCCAAGTGGAGCGTTCTCGGCATGTTCACCGCTTGTGGCATGGGCTGGCCGGCTGGAGATTCACCCGAATCGCACACGATTCGCCCTGCAAGTGGCTACGCCGAGAAAACGTATGTACCTTTCGGGATGAATTTGAATAGGCCATGAAGTCACCGTGAAGCAACATCTGCTAAACTTGTCTCAACAACCTGTCAGACCCCGAGAAAAGTGTCTCATATGTCTTTTTCAACTATACAACTTATAAGGGCGCAATCTCATATTATATTCTTAAGACATGTGTGTTATTGCTTCAGGCAACCACACCAGCTGGCCAGCGCCCTGTGCTCGCCGGCGCCGACATGCCACGAGCAGCGTGCATAATGTCGTGCATTCCATGTGCCGCAGCGTGGGTCAAGTCACCTTGGTCACCCCCCCAAGATTCCAGTGAAAGAAGCTGTTTGCTCAGGAGCTAGGTGTTCCTTACAGTGAAGTATTGGCTCGCACCCTCAGATGACGTGACACCAGCTTTACAACAGTTGCATTTGCTTTGGGAGGCGCTATGATAATTCATGTCTCATCTTGAAGATCTAGACCCTCCAACCACAAGAGCAGAGCATACCTTGATTTGTTTTGGGCTGAACTTGGAACCCAGAAGCTATTTGCGGCGGCATTTGGAAAGGCCATCTATGGCCATCTGGCGGCCGTCTATGGTGCGTGTGTTGCGGAACTACCTGGGAACCAGGCCTCATCAATAGAAGACTCTCCACTGAGAAGTTGGCCAAAAGACGCAAGCGAGATCCACAAAAAGCTAGCAGATCTCAGGTGTGGGTCAAATCACCTTTTGGCACTTGTACGGTGTTGCGGTTGCCAAACAAGCTTTGTGGCAGCAAAAATAGGAGTCGCGCGGGCGACACCCACAAAGCCATGTGTGGGTTCTCCTTTTCGGGACCCAACGGTCTATGATCAGTCAATTTGATCCACCAGGGTCAACTTGCTGGTTCGCAGCTGGTACAGTTGGAGGTGAGGTCGCATCCATGGCATACTTAATTTGGATCATTATGGTAGGCTCTTGGCACTTCTCATCACTTCCCCCTCCATCTCATCAGATGGCTCTGACATCTCATATCTCCTCACTTCCCGAGGCCATTTCTTCCAGCAACAACCCGGCGGATTGGGCGCCTTCCAAGCGTTCGTGGCCCCTTGGGCGTTTATATAGCAGCATCTGGTTTCAGTGAATCCTGAACCCTGAAAACCCCGAAGAACCCTGCTGAGGGGCGCTTTCCGGACATGGTAGCCCTTCGTGGTTTCAGAGTAGATGGCACTGGCATCCCAAGAGGACTTTTAGGTGGGAGGGCCCATAAAAACCACAGACCTTGGGGATTGCGCCATCGACTCTCAATCCAAGATCTTCTGCATGTGCAGGGCCACATGCAAGAGGATCACCTGCATGAGGGTGCTTTATCTATATACTATACCGATGCATTCTTTGTTATGCTCAAAAAGTTACGCGTGTTTATTTGGCGCAACGAATCCCAAACCCCGGAAAGCGAAGGAGTGGCCAAACAAGGCAACATGAAGCCCCCTCGAAGCCTGGTCATGAAGCCAATCAAACCAGCCATGAGGAACTCAGAAACGAGGGGCCAGACGAACTGACACGGACCATCATGAACCCATAGGCCCCGTTGGTCATTTGTGGGTTCCATTAGCCAAGAAGATGAAGATTCTAGAAAACCTTTGCTTTTTGGAGCTCGAGCTGCCAAGCCTTCATGTAAACACAATGTGTTTCGCCAGAAGCCGGTGGACTTTCTTGCCCTAGCTTTTCAGCTGTGATTAGGGCCCAACACAGAACCCGTCATTTTGCGAAGATAGAGGGAGGCCTCCTAAAGTTGCAGCTGTGAAGTTCTGTAAGCTTCATCAAGTCTCAGCTGGCTGACCTTACTTCATCGCCGATGCACGCCACCCCTGAAGTTCCTGGGCCTACGCTCCACCCGTTTGTAGCCCTTGTCGCTTGAGCAACCTGTAAAAAGCAGGGCATCGGCAAAGCGAATCAAATCGGCTGTCCAGCGGTCGGGGTCAGCGAATCAATGTGTTTTCGGCATTGTTTGAGCTTCGCTCGTTCTCTCCGACCAGCCGAAGATCGCCGCTCTTCCGGTCACTCGCGACCTCATGTTGGTCTCCAGGTGCTGTGCGAAGAAGCAGCTGGGCTGCGAGGCGAGGCGTTCGTCGTGCGGAAACGCGGTGAACTGGTGTGTCCGCCAACACGGGCTGGTGGGCATGAGTTTTGTTCAATTCGAGCGACTCAGCTAAGGCAAAACGGGTTGTCAGTTGAGCCTTAGGGAAATCAAACCAGTCTATAGCAGGCCTACATGCTGCAGCTAAAAATCCGAAAGAGAACTATTGGAGGTTGATGAGGTTGATGAGGTGCATCACCAGTCATTTGAGGGTGTTCGATTGAGTCCTTTTTGCCTCCAGGTATGACAAAATGGCCAGTCATTGCCCCTTCTCCTGCCAATACAAAAGAAGTGTTGCTGATGTTTTTCCGCACCCGGCCCTGATGCTCAAACCCCGAGAATCCTAACAGGAGCATTGGACATGTGGAGAAGTGGGCGCCGAGGATGGATTCAGCAGAATGGTGAGACGTCCCCCATGGGTTGCACAGGGAGATGGCCCGAAGTGTGGATGGGAAAGCAACGGAATGACAACGGTTGTTTTGTTTGATGTGTGTTTGATCATTGTCTTAATTTTGCTCAGTTGAATTTCCTTTTTGCTCATGTCACAAAAAAGTGGCCTTGTAGTATACTAAGACTGTTGCTGGCCTCGAGGCCCACCACGAGTTGCTAATATGTTAAACCTTTGGAGTGATGACCCCTTTCCAGTGGCCAGGGTGACTCTGGTGCTGGCTTCTCCTGCAACATGGCTGTAAAGAGGGGGGCTGGCCGGGCTGGAAATGGCACTGACAGCTTGGCTGGCTTGGCTTCCCATAAACGAGAAAGCCAACATGTAGGCACTACCAGCTTCCAAACCTCGAAGACGGCGGAAGATGCACAGCCATACCGGCTGAACGCGACCTGAAAAACGCGATTCATGACACCAGCAGGACACTCATGAAGGTCCAAATGCGGTTCGAAAAAGCAGGAGCCATGTCCAAACAGTCCCCCTTCGAACGGCCTTTTTTGTTGGCTCTCAGAGTCGACTGTATGATGTTCTTGGTCGAGTTCGGTGGTTCACAGGATGATCGCCCTCGAAAAGGATCGCATCAACCGGTAACCCCATCGAAGCAAACATCGATGTACAGTAGATTGACATAGCCCATGCTTTGTAGGAAACAGGAGAACTACCCCCCATACTACCTCCGCCACTGATGCGCAGGCTGGCCACAGTCTTGAGTAGAGTCCCTCCGGACCGGCCAACTCCTCGTTTCACAGGCACTGGCGATGCAACGACCTGGCAGCAGGCGTCAGATATTCCATGCCGCCGTCAGATGGTGTAATGGTGGTGTATGTTGGGCATAGGAACCCGGATGACATCGAGCAGTGATGATAGTGGTGTTTGGATGCAGCAGTCGGCCCAGTGGGGGTAGAAGGAGCAGTTTCTTGATGCTTTCCCGTCAATGACAGCTTCTCTCATAGCCGCAAAGCTACACGACACGTGCTTGGAGGAAGATGGAAGGTGAAACTGCACCTATTGCCCCAACCACTTGCCATGTTTCGCGGCTTCCAGATGCTTGGATGTCTTACATCATGGGTGGGTTCAGAGTAGATGGCACAAAACATGCACGAACCCCCGGAACGAAAAAGAATAGGGCTGCTCTCCTTACAGCCCGGGATACATCAATGATAGCAAAAACCATCGCACATCTCGTCGATTTCTCCGAATGGTCTCAACCCAGCTGCGTCACCCAGCTGCGTCAGGAACAGAAGACCTGGTGCTGCGTCACAGCCGGGATGGGTTGCACCACTGCCCCACCGGCGGCCAACGAACTCTACGACTGCACGGCAGGCGCGACGTCGCGGGACATCGGATGCGACGCGGGACGTACGTAACTCGCGGAGGTGGTTTTCCGGAAGAACATAGGAGAACATAGGAGAATCAGAGAAACCATAAAAGCAAACACATATTTTCAAGCATGTGTTTAAGACTCCCATGTGGCACGGGTACCCAAAAACCTTTATTCAAGCAAACTCAGTTTCCAGGACTAGAGAATGGGCCTGATAGCTACACAGGCCTTCTCGGGCACTCGACTTTCAGAGCACTTTCAGACCTTTCGTGTGACCACAGATGCACAGAAAAGCCACATAGTTCCAGAAAGCTCTACCCACATGTTCATCCTCTACCCAGTGAACCAGGCATCAAAAGGCGTCCCATTGGAGTTTGGGAACTGTGCCTGACAGGCTTTGCGAATTGGCAGGATGCTTGGCCCGAGGAGCAACAGCAATGGTGCTGCCGAGACCTTAGCGAAGTCCCAGCGCCTAGGGGGGCAGCCGGACAGAACGTCATTCCGCACCTCTCATGGCGGACGGCGCGTCTCGACGTAGGGCACCGTAGGGCAACCGCCCTCAGCTCAGGGCCAAGGGTGCTGGTCTGTGGGGCCAAGGTACGAATCATGGCAGAGCATGCAACACTTTCGAGAAGGCCATGGCGATCGATTGTGCCATGGCGATCGATTGTGTGGGTTGGAGGGGTCTGGAATATGTTCCACGTGTCATTCACATGATTTCACATCTAACAACTTCAGGGGAGCCTGAAGTCCCAAAGAAGGTTTGATGCAGAATGAATGGGAAGTACACCCCCAGATTCCGAGACCCACATGGAACTACCAACCAGGCGTGGTGAACCACTCCGGCGTTCCGGTCTGTGGGTCCCTGGGCCCCTCGTTGACGGAGGTTGGCCGCCGCAAAAGACTGCTGGGTGGGATGGGGTGGGATGGGATGGGATCCAGAAAAAATCGCTGGCAAGCTCATTCATGGGCAATGGGGGCCTCAAAGCTACCTTCCAACCAACCCGTGTCGACACTCGAACATTCCGGGTGGCCATAATTACCTGGACTGGTGCCCAAAATGGTTACCTCCTCATGTCACTCAATGCGACTCTCATTCCAGAAGGGCCAGCGACCAGGTACTCATCAACCCACTGCTAAAGAAAGACTCTTGATTAACAACCTCCCCACATATAGGAAGAGCAGGAAGAGGTTGTTGAATCCAATTGAGGTAGGTTTCTAATTGTCCATCAACGCTCGGACATTCGCATCCACACCGTTTATAAGGTGACTCGGCCATGGCGAACCTGGCGGAGGACACGAAACAGTGGCCCCTCGCATGCAAGGAAACAGGGTGCCCCGGTGAGCGTCACAGTTACATCCTCGTTCACATTTCCCCTATAGAATCGTTTTTCCCTTACAGATCAACATGTTTAATCATTTATATAAAAATTGTGTTTGTTTTTTTCAAAAAAAATGGTGGTCATTCTATAGGGGATTTTGTAGGGGTCTTACGTTCTGGGGTCAGTGCTGAAAGATGTCAATTTCTGGATGGCTGACATATCATTTTGTAGAGACACTAGGCTCTTGAGCCTGAGATTTATGATGGCAACAAGATCATGGTTTTTTGCGCTGATTTTACCTTGCGTGGCTGACATGTCATTTTGTAGTGACCCCATCGTTGACCATGTTTGCTGGAATAGCCAAACAAGGGTATCCCTGGAACCTCATTTTGTAGCGCCCCTGTTTCTTTATGGTTGCAGGAGTCATCGTTTCGTAAGAAACATACTTTGAGGTCTTCCAGGGGGACATACTTTTTATACAGACTTTTCTTACAAAGTGTGAGTCGCCAACATCACCCCAGAATTCTAACGGGGATGCAGTTACGTGGTGTGTAAACACTTTCTGAACTTCAGGGTGTTATCCTGACGGAGAAGGGGGCAACAAGCCATGAAACGATTTGCTTCACCTTGGATGGGCCCGATTTTGAGGGGGTGGAAAAAGCTAGCTTCGTATGCGCAGCAGGAAAAAGCATGCCGTTCAGAGGATCATAGGCGACCGAAGCCGCGTTCACGCTGGGTCGTCTAATAGGATTCCAGGTGTACTACTGAAGAGACATCCTCAGATGTTTTTTTCTGTTGATGAGCTATCAGTTCCAGATCAGCAGCTTGAGCTGTTTCACGCTACTTCTTTCACCTGCCACACCGTGTGTCGTTTGGATTTTTGTGACCGACGACATTTGCTCCGGTGTTCCCTGAGGTGTTGCGAGCATCATGGCAAGTTATGCGAGGCATGAGCGCAAGTTAGAGGTGTCCGCGGGGATAAGTCCGCACTGCTTTGATGCGATTTCCGGGTGGTTCCGGCACATGACAATAACACAGAGGCAACATGAATCAAGCAAGGCAAAAGAAGGCAGCAGGGGTCCATTCCCAAGATGTTTCGATGCAACATTCACATGAATTCACCTTCAAAGAGCGCGTTTTTGTTGAGTGCTGGTGGTTTTCCAAAACTTGATGCCATGAGTGCACATCTCTTTTACAGCTGCTGAGCCACGGGCTGCATGCTTGGGAAAGTTTGATTAGTTGGCACTCGAAAGATCTATACGCCCAGTTCAATACCTGAGAGGGTCTGAACTCAATAATTCGAGTGCACCATGTACTGACCATTGACCACATGACGTGATGAAATCAGGAGTGCCCCCTGAGCCGACAGAGCCCCCGGAGCCTTGCGAACCAAAAGCATCCCTTTTTCGACTCTAGGCCGGAGATGGGGACGCCATGACAGGCAGCATTGGAGAAACAGAATCATCAGGAGATTGAAAAAACGCATGAAGAATCATGAAGTCTATTCAGATGTATGTTGCAATATCCTCTATGAAATCAGGGGGGTCCACGCACGCCATATTTTGATATTTTTCTGGGGATTGGGGGGGTCAGGGGCCTGATTTTATAGAGAACCAGGTTTTTGTCAAAATATTGTATTTTGAAAAGGAGGTCAGCAGCAGTTAGACAGCCAGTATGCTTTTATGACTTGTGTGTGTTTTTGTACTCTAGAATCATACTGCCAATATTTTTACAAAACAAATAACAAAAATTAACAAAACATGCTACTCTCTAGTTCTATTCACTATTCACTATGACTATTCTCTAATTCTATGCGTTTTGGTATGTTGGGGTGGAGAGAGTCAAGCTCCACCTTAACCCAAGTCTTTCGTCGCTACTAGTAACAAGGGCATTACTAGTAGTAGCTAGAGGTTGGAGGCCATCGCTGCTAGTAGCAAGAAGCTACTAGCAACAAAAGCACCATGCAGATTTGCTCCCCGATGTCCGCCCCAGCTCAGCATGAGCTCACCAAACGTGAGTCTCCTCTCGAGTGAGAAGTGCGCACGTCCCCCCTGGCTCGACCCCGGAACCGATTGGATCGGCGGCGGGGGGGACAGCCGATCCAAAGAAGATCGTCAATTCTTCGAGCCTTTCAAAGCAGAAGTGTTCATGTTCTTCACTGGCGGGTTGGAAGAATGATGAAGAATGGTAACAACTTGCCTTAGCTTGGCTTCTGGCTACTCGCTAACAAGGTGAAAGAAACACGAATGCGCAGGAAGAGAAACGTGTTCACGGGACCCGGCCAATTCTGATGAAGCAACTCCCCGAAGTGGTACAGGGCAGATATCGACTCAGTTGTTTGCATGTTGAGATGATCTGAAGGAAGAGCTCAGAGAGCTGGGATCAACCTGAGGGAAGACCAAAGCAAAATGGCTTCAAAATGCTTTGGAGGCTCAAACGAACATCTGAAGAAAGTGCTCAGACTTCGAAAGAATTTGTGTGGCACGAACAGCAGATGGGGTTTCATCGCAGCTCGCAGCCACGAAAAGTCCCGGTACTCCCCTCCTACCTGTTTTTGGCTTGATCGGTTCCAGCGCAGCCTCTCCATATTGGGCGTTACCTAGTGGAATCATATCCAATCATAAACACGGCAAAGGGACGAGAAATGAGAATTTGGGGGGCAATTCATTGATGCTGAATGATTTTCCATTGATAGGACATGGACATGCTCCAAGATTCCTAAAGCATTGCAGCTACCAAATCTTGCTTGGCTTCACGAGGCAGATAACATAATTAGTAGCAGATGTAGCAGGTGTGGTTGGAAATGGTTGGAATATTCAAATCAGTATTTAGATGCATGTCGCTTGTCATGGTCACACCAACATGATGCCCCCCACTTTGGTTTTCCATCTAGGTCTGGAAACATTGCCAGCAGACAACTACTCTCGGTCAAACTTGCTACGAACCGAGCTTGCTGGAGGGAAGGCTGGATGTGGAGGGCAACGTGTCCAGACTTAGAATTCAACCTGGTTTGTTCAGTTTCAACATTCTTCAACCTGGAAGTTTGTATAAAAAGAAATTGTGTTGCTTCTACTTTGCTCAGTGTTTCTTTTGCTTTCGATACCTTAATGATGTTAATTTGATACATTTCTTGGACCTGGTAGATCCAGAGACTTTTTTGGTTTCTCAGGCTAGCAGCGCACACGTTGCCTGCCCATGTTTGCGTTGTTGGGCGCATGTAACCTGCATGTAGGAGCGTACTACATGTGCAGTGGGCCGTGGCAGTTGCTAGGTTGCCAAGTTGAGCCCCCTGAGGGTGGCACAGGTCTTGTGAACCAAGAGCCTTTGGCCTTGGGATGTTTGGTAGACTCGTAGACCCTTTTGGACTGCTTGAGTCAACTGTTGCAACGGTTTCAATGCACAAACAAGTGGAACCCAGTTCATTGTTCATTTCCCACTCAGATTTGGATGGTCCAACACAATCCCTTGGCGCTGTGACTTCTCCATTGAGTGCCTTTCAATGGACCTTTGGGAGATAGATCTAATATAGTAGACAGAGGTTCACCTCGTACAGAAAAACAAGAATTATGAAATACTACGAATGCAAGCTGTGTTGCCCTGTTTTTGACCCCATGACTCATGACTTTCGACCATCGACCCACCGATCGCGTCTTGTCCGACTTGACCGCTCACCAAAGGGTGACAGATCCGAGAGGGAAGAAAATCGTGTCGCCTAGGCGAATGTAGACTCTTGATCAATTTTCAAGCCCCCGTATGAGGATTTACAATCCAACACGGGCGGGGGATATTCATCAAGCACGTGTTGGGTGGGGTGTGGAAGGGGGGGGCAGTGGCGGTCTATGGTCAGCAAAAACACTCAGCGTGCTTGGCCTGCACGTTTCGATGTGAACTGATGGTATGTATTTGATGGGCTTTGTGCAGTGAGCTGCAATGTTTGGGGGGGGGCGGAGGTAGGTTTGGAAATTGACAGGTGAAACTGAAAGGTCAATTTCAGCAGGTTTGGAAAATGGGCTGGGGCTTTTCGCTACCCCACTTCACTGGAGACAACGTTTAGTATCCAAGTCTCCGGGGATTGGGATGCTTACAGAGTCTTACAGAACAACAAAGAAACGAGAGTGTTAGTGCGTTCTGGAGAGTCTCATACTATCTTATACCATCTGCTTGTGCTTTCAATTTCACACAAGCCCAGGAGTGGAAAATGGCCACTGTGTGCCGAAGGCAGAATAATGCCAAACAATTCATTAATTTGAAATGGGTGGGGCCAGGACGCTCAGTTGTGAAGCAAATATGCTGATTTTGCTACCTGCTAGGCAAGAGATTCCTTTCGTTTCTTGTGTTTCCAGATAGCTACGCAGTCTCAGAGGCTGTTCAGTCACAGAATGCAGCACCCGCCAACATGTTCAGCAAGTGGATAACACATTCCCATGACAGTCAAAAGAAGATGCCCAACAACATGTGACATCTGGGCGACGACCTGGGATGACGAGTCGACTGGGGTCGCTTCAAGGTGTGCGACCGGTTTGCCTCGTCACACTTGCTCGTTTGCAAGCTGAGATAGACAGATAGACACGACCGAACCACAGAGGGGTTTCCAGAAAGCCTTAGAATGTGCAGAACCCGTCAGCAATAGGCCATTCCCACAGACAGCGCTTGGTTGAGCATCACATGAATCAACAGAACGCAGAACCGGGGTCCAATACAAACGCGTCCGCCGTGAACAGATGTGAACAGAAGCTTTGGGAGCCTGAGGCGTAAGATAAGTAGATTAGGATGAACACTGCAGGCGTTGCAGTAGATTCGGTAAGCTTCCTGAAGTTGTTGATTTCTCCAGATGTTCCTGTCCAGCAGCTTGCTTGAACATGTTTCCAAGCCACTAGCCAACGAAGCACCGACCAATCATTAGGGTTTTTTGAAGAAAACCCTCCATCAGGCAAGACCTACCATGTTGTGACATGTGATGACCTCGGAGAAGCCCAAAAATAGTGATGATTCCTGTTTCCGCACAGGGGTGGGCATGGCCCTGTTGGAAGCTTTGGGCATTCCGCGCCATGGGCCGCTGGCCCGATGGTCTGCGCAACTGGGTGCGTACCTCCTGAGCCGAGGATCGCGTGGCCAGATTTGCTTGTGCCGCGGCATGCGAGTTCAGCCGCCGTTTCTTCCCAAGAACCAGCTGAAGGTCATGAGTTTGGGCAGGTTCTGGCGTACACTCACCAACTTCCAAGATATTTTCCCAGGATGGGATAGGATATGATAGGATAGAATATGTCCAACATTGGAACCGACAAGACTTCGGTGAATGAATAACACTTGCCGTAACATGCTGTGACTTGGGTGAATGAGGCCATGTTGTTTTGGGCCCTGTATGGCCACAAGGTGCTTTTTTCCCGCCACACGGCTGAGGCTCAAAGACAAGGATTAAACGACGTGTTCTCCTTAATGATAGTCCAACTCCCAACATCGAGATCCGACATGGTGTTTTGTCCCCCGATCAATGTGGACACCTCCACGATGTCAATATGCGCCAGATCAATCTATATTCTCAAAGTGCTCTTCCCACTCGGTGCGTTCTCCTTCTTGTGCATAAGGCAAGGCAGCCTTCAGGGCAGTGTGGTGCTGGTCCCGATCTACGCTCCGCGCCCTGGCCGCAACCCCCTCCTCACTGCTCCTTTGCAGCTTTCGCGGAGAAAACAGCCTTCCCCGAGGTATCGGGCCTGGCGTTGGTCGCCCGTGCCCTCTATGCCTGAAGGCTTTGGGCGTCAGGCGGCGCGGCTCAGCCTGCTGGCCTTGCTGGCGGTATGGCGGGCTGGAGGTGGGGGTTCGCCAGCAACGAAGAACGATCAAAATTACTCCAGACCAGCCCCAACCACATACTGTATAGTTTTGTAGCAGATCGCTGAAAGAAAGATGTCTTGGAAATCATTCCTGCAATCCATACCGGATCTGATGGAAATGGCCGCATGCCCTGACTGAAGATCTCTCAGGGCCAGGAAATTGCGAGCTGGCCCACCTGCCACATGTTGATGACCCTGTGATTGGAACGTGCTTATATATAGATATATTTATTTATACTATATAGTTATATGATATCTTCCACTAGTTTCCAGGGCACAACAAACCCGAACAGCACCTTGAATTGTCCTGCAGAACGCTTGCCCTTCAAGACCTCTGACATGGAGATCCCCTGAAGTTTCGCCACTTTTCGAAGACCTCCACTTGTGTTACTCTATAGAGAGGCTGCCCGTAGGGCCCTAGCGATAGACACTTTAAGAAGTTTTCGTACACCCACATCCATCAAAAACCATCGCCATACGGCACCAAGTATATATAAAGCACGTCCAGCTCCGGGTCTCTCCACCAGCGGCACCCGCGCTGCGTTTGCGACCCGCTGGGTACCCTGCCGCGCTGCGCGCGCCGTGCAGGTCGGGTGGCACCGGTGACTGCTGAGCTACTGGAGCCCCCACGCAATCGACAAGGTGCCACTGCGAAGCACTGGCACGGTTCGGGTGCACGCGATCGCTTGCACGAGGAATCGCAGAATAGCTAGTGGTAAGCAGAGCAGCAGCAGCAGCAGCAGCAGCAGCACAAGAAGGACTAGTTAGTAGTAGTAGTAGTAGTAGTAGCAGCAGCAGCAGCAGTAGTCGTAGTAGTAGTAGTCGTCGTCGTCGTCGTCGTAGTCGTCGTAGTAGTCGTAGTAGCCGTCGTCGTCTTCGTAGTAGTCGTAGTAGTCGTCGTCGTAGTAGTAGCCGTCGTCGTCGTAGTAGTAGTCGTTGTCGTAGTAGTAGTAGTAGTAGTAGGAGCAGCAGCAGCAGTAGCAGTAGCACTGAGGAGGAGGAGGAGGAGTAGTAGCAGTAGCAGCAGCAGGAGGAGGAGTTGTAGTAGGAGTGGCAGTAGCAGCAGCAGGAGGAGGAGGAGGAGCAGTAGTAGCAGCAGCAGCAGGAGGAGGAGGAGGAGTGGCAGTAGCAGTTGCAGTTGCAGTTACAGTTGCTTTTTTTCATTTGATTTCTACGGTGGACAGTGTACCAATAAGGTCAGTTGCTGATCCCTGAGCTGCGCTGGGACCAACGGGCGATCCCCAGCGTGCTGCAGCAGTGGCAGTGGCCTGGCGGATTGGACGGGGACGGTGCGAGAACAAGTGTCACGAGTTTCCATGGTGATTGTACCTCCGCCTTTAGGCACAGTCACTCTTTATCGCTTTTAGATTTTTACACTGTTTTTGAGTGAAATGGGTTCCTATTTACAGTAAAATGATTTCCCGCTAAACTGGCCTGGTTGGCCACCGTTGGCCTACGGACCCTGTTCTGACTGGTGTGGGGTAATGGGGTAGAAGGCCAGATGGTCCTTTTGGAAGGACATGGAACTGAATTGGAGTCTCCATGGTAGAAAGCCATCAAAACCGGTGAGGATGGCTATATCATGCCATATCTCATTGCGGGGCTTATTGAAGGGAATCTGGCCTTCAGATGTACTGACTGCTCCCCATAGCATTTGAACAACCACGCTCCTGCCCGCGTCAAGTCACCTCGGTTGCATGCGGCGTGTGGCGTAATTTGAGGCCTGCCTTCATCTTGAGCTTCGGGGCGTTGGATTCTGGTCCAAAAACTGCCATAAACTTGAGCGAAACCAGGTCCGGCGGTGGGATCTCAGAAAATGTTTGATAGCAACGAGCAGGACGTTGGCCTGGATGTTGAGCCCACAACTGAGAAGAAGGGTAGGTCATCCCATTCACAAGAGTTATGTAAGGGCAAATAGGGGAAGAGTTCATCACCAAAGTGAGGGACGGACTGGCCTTTACAAAGCAGTATTGATCCATTTCCATTGGGTGCAAGCCTTTCAGGCCCCTTGACAACCAAGCGTTTCGTCTAAGTTTGGGTCAAGAGAGTCACAAGAGCAAAATGTTGAGACAGCCTGCAAGGTGATGCCATCCAGAACATGTAGAACCTCAACCCCTCGCCACCCCGGAGCAGGAGCTCCGGACCTCATCAGCCCAGGATGAGCTCTTCACCCGTTCAGTGGCCTCGGAAGGCTTCTGGACGCCGCACACAGTGAAGTACCTCCGCCTGGATTTGCAGTCCGAATCCCAGCCGGAGCACTCTCCATCTCGAGGCTCCCTGGTGAGGTCGCTCGGAAGAGTTGGAGGGCCGGAAGGGAGTTGGGGTTGGAAAGGGAGTGCGACTTTTCAGATCATGTGCGCATGTGTGCGTGTGTCATGACATGTTATGACTTGTGTTGACTAGATTAACTAGCTCATATTAACCATAGATGGAGAAAGATGGATGCAGATAGTAGGTAGATGTAGATTAAGTAGACAGACAGGACGGAGTTTGAATAGTAATAGCTTTCTCCAATCAGCATCGGTTGTTTAGATGTTACGCAAGTACGTGAACTCTTGAACTTCCAAAAAGTGATCAAGTGCTCAACGCAACTTCCCGCTCGCAAGACTTCACAGGTTGGGGGAATTGCCATGTAGTCAAGACTCATAGAATCATGACTCACCACAAGCCCAAGGCCCAACTTATACATCCAGACGGTGAACGGTGAACGTTTTGGATAGTTGGAAGGTGGTTTTCCAGGGTTTTCCTTCAAGAGAACAGGTCGACTTCTCTTTGCGCGCTTTCCCGCCATCTCGAGCTGAAGGCACTTGGCAATCCCGAGATTCAGGAACGACCATGAGCCTTGACAGTGGGGAAAGACCACGCCGTGGCGTTTTTGAGTGTTCAGAGTGTGACAATAAATGTCAGTTGATGCTATGTACCCTGGACTTCAGGTGATGCCATGAACCTGTGAAAAAAGGAACGCCTCTCCCTGAGTCATCCCAGATTAAGGGGGGGTTATGGTTGCAGGTCCAGTACCCCTTGCGAGGTCTCGTGGGCTTTGAGGTGCACATGCAGACCCAGAGAAATCATACAGCCCAATAACGCCCTGGGATGGTGATGGCAGGATATGGCAGGAAAACATAGGGGAACTCTTCCTTGAACACTTTCAACGGTCGTGTTCTGGGATGAAAGTCCCAGGTGAAGCCCACTACACCAAAGTGTTCATGATTTCCACCACGTCTTGGGCTGTCCACGTCGGCAGCAGTGCGGCAAGCTGGTAAGCAATTCGGATCATTCCTTTTTTTGAGGACTTGGAGCTATCAGAGGTCGCCTTGTCTTTCGCTGGAGGTGAGGAAGTCACCTTCCAGGATATCCTCGCAGCGGCTTCTCGGACGATCAGTGGACGTCACGTTTGCAGGGACTGGGCCTTTCTAAGGGCAGCCCGCAGGAACAAGCAGGATGATCGAAGGCAAGTAGGGAAGCAAATAGGGAATAACATGAAATCAATCATTAATGATACACGCCATGCAGTAAGCAGCATCAGTAAATTAAGTAAGCCATGCTTAAGCTGTATTTGCTGTGGCTTTTGTGTCCTTGCTCAGGCCGCCCCCCTGAAAAAGGGGTGGACCTCGATCGCGTCCCACCTTCTCAGGTCGCTGACCCCGCCGGAAACCTCGCTTCCAGCCCTGAGGGCTCGGCGCACATCGTGCGCCTCCTGCGTGCCGCGCGGCGTCGGGCGGCACCGCCGGCCACGGCGCGGCCGCCCTGGTGGCGCGTCGGCGGCCATTGGCCGCCACAGCGGCGGGCGGCGGCGCCGACGATGTGGACCGCGGTGGATGCGTTGGATCCGAATCGACAAGGGAGGACCTTGGATGGTGAAGTTTACTACTGGAACCGCGCGCTGGCAGCAAGCAGTGCGGAGATGGGGTAGAATCGAATCTTCAAGCTTCAAAAGAAGGTGGTGGCATTGGTGGTGGCTTTGGTCAATCCTTCAACTCCCCGTTCAGGGCGTTTCACCATATGTAAAATGTAGAATGTAGAACACTGCACTAGTCTATCTGACTATCTGATCATGTTTCTCACCAATTCACTTCCACTCCTTCCAGCTTCACGCGGCGAGCCCTCCCCAGGTGAGACCAATGAAACCACCTGGGACCGCCCCTTTGGTGGGCGCCGCTCCGAGCCACGCCGCGCGAGCCGGGCGCCCCCGCGGGCTCCTCCCGGCGCCGCGGGCGCCGCGGGCGCCCGGCGGCGCGAGCACGAGGTGAGTCGTGGGCAACGTCGGCCCAGGCCAAGACGGCTGGGGCTGAGCTTGGAATTCTTGGGAAGCTCAGGATATGTGAAGAGCACAAGCCTGGCAAGAAGTGAGTGAGGCTCGTTTGAAAGAAGGTGCAGCTGGCAAGTGGCTTGGGGTGGAAGATGGCGTCCGGAGATTGTAAGGGTATTCCAAGATCACTGAACGGGTTGGAACATCATTGAACCTTGGAGACTAGGCTAACCTCTTGAAAGCGAATAGTGTCCTTCCACATGTGTTACACCTTTAGCAGCCTCAATGCTGAGACGCGCTCCGGTCATTTGTCCCGGCTTGTGGGTGCATTCAGACAAGGCCAAGATTCCTCTCACAGTCTCCAAATACGCCCAGGGTTATTGAAAGCCTTCGTTAATCGGGAACCAGGCTTGCACCATCTTCTCAACTGTACATAACTATGTGTATGTGTGTGCATATATGTGTGTGCGTGTGCGGGATGAGGTTCTCGCTGCTACGCCTGACGTTTGATTTGGAGTGATTTGGTCCATCAATCGCATGCTCACCTCCTGCCAACCGCTTCCCTGCTCAAAGACTCCGCGGGCTTGCCGCGGACGAGCAGTGGAGAACACCGCGGACAACACCGAATGAATGGCCGAAGTCCCATGGCCAGGGCCGTTGTCCAATCTGATATTGCGATAGACGCTTGGATCAGACACAGTTGTGGGAGCGCCAACAAACTCAGCTCCAACAGCTCCGGCATTGGGGGAAGTCGTCTAATTGTAGCTGCCTTCGACTTCCGTGGATACATTCCACGACAACGGTGAAACCGCCTAACAGAAACGGAGTGCGGCAATAAGGGATACGATTCGAGGGGTTTGGATATGTGGTATGTACGCACGAGTTCAAGATTCTGTGGTTTGACCCAGGTCATCATGGAACTCGATAGGCACATGACCGGTGGAGTTCATCGAGTTCCCAGGAAACTCCCGCTGTTCGAAGCCAAGGAAATCTGACGATGGCTACAAGGACCAGATCGTGAGAGCCCGTGCCTTCAAAACACAGGGGGGGAGGAACGAAAGACTCTATCAGGTTCGAGACAAACGTCTTACTCGAACGTGAACCCAACAGATACATACTATCATTTTCCCCTCCAGACCGCCAATGTCTCACAAGATTCGACAAGTCACGGGGACAGGATCCATGCAGTCATGAAAAAAGCCGTCGTTTTGACAAGAGCAGGTAGCACAACCCGCCAGACGATGTTCAGATCCATTCCATCAAAAGCTGCCTCCTTGGGGTTTGGTGATGTTGTGCATTTGCCATTTGTATACGAAAGAAACTTGCCCAATTCTGGACACCAAGCCCAGCTACAGTCCAACCGAGTTCAACACCTCCGGGTCATGAGTCAGTTAGCCGGCAGGTCGCTTTTGCAGCTGGTTCTCCCAAAGGGTATCGAGGCAGGTGTGATCCACACCTCCATCGCACCAGGATGCCATCTTTGTGGCTCCTCATCCCTTGCTTCATTGGCTGCCTTTCATGTGAAGGCGGAGGGGGGCAGTTGGTGGAGCCTGGTCGTACAAGGATGAAGCTCCAGAAGCCCATGTTCAAAGTTTGAAGGCTTGGATCTAAAGAGGGTAGCACATAGGGCCATAGGGTGTTCCAAGGCACTGTCAGATAAGCCAAGGGTTTGGGCACTTTGGAGTCGAATTGCAGGCTTTCCGTTGGTGGTCTTTGGGCTGAAGAATGGAGGATCAGAACCCACAGAGGCTTTTGTTGCCGCCAGCCTGCCTTGAAGTTCAGCCAGCCAGCCTTCAACTGAAATTATTTCGAGGTTTTGTGGCAATGAAAGCCCGCAGATCAGGCTTTTGTCACTGATGCAAGAGGATCCGGGTTCCGATCGTCCATGATGGCCCTTCTCAAGCATTTGGGCTTCCAGGTGAGTGGTGCAGGTTGGGCGAAGCGGAGGAGCTTCCACGGCTGCAGCTGCTGCAGACACAGATCAGCTTTCGAGCGCCCAGCGACCAGGACGATCGAACGGTGTTTTCTCGTGGAACCAGAAGCTACGAACGGGGCTCCTGGCATCGCTAGGAACGGAGCGATCGGACGCTACGAACGGGGCGTCCTAAGAATCGGCCTGATGACCTGCGGATGATCCGGAGCCAGTTTTGTTCCTGGGTGCATTTTTTTTCGGCAGACAGGCCAGGTGGCATGAATGCACGGCAGTCATCCGCCTTCCTTGTAGATGTGGGAGACTTCAAAGGAACCTGCATTTAAAAATAGTTATCCAAGAACACACCGAGATGGCACCAGCCTATCAGAAAACAGTTCCATTTGGCCTCTTTGGGATCTTGAACTCATGGTGCAGGACTTTTCTTCAATCTCATCCATCCGATCTTCAGGAGCCCAATGTGATTTTGCCCAAAGCGCGGCGCTTCCCGGCACCTGCTCCTCCACCCTACGCGCCCTATGGTGAAGCACCTCAACCCCAGCTGTGGCTTGTCATGCGTCGAATCGACCAGAGGAGGGGAGGCACGGCGACTCAAGGGGATTTGAGGAGCCCTGATACCTACCAGCTTCTTGCTCCATTCGTAGCGATGCCCTTTGCTCCGTTTGTAGCTTCCTGTTACTCGTAGTATTGCCAGGAGCTACGTTCGGTGCAGGGGCCGACCTCTCCAAGGTCGAAGATTTGAGATGGATTTATATCTTGCAGTAGATGTTCGCTACAGAGCTGGACAGATGCCAAGCCTTCCAGTAACTGGTGTGAATCTAGTGTATCCACTGCCCATGTACGGACGGTGGTGCTGGACGGACGAAAACCGTCAAGCCATCCGGCCCTGACCAACATCCCCAAAGAGCACTGGTTTTGGCGCATGCTCAGTTGAAACAGCTTTTTGAATAGCGATTTCCTGCACTTGATGGGAGTCAAAGTTGCTGCGCAAGATGCTCCAAAGGACACACGGCCAAAGGACACACGGCCCAGATCAGCTCACTGCGATCATTGGCTCCGAAAAGGACCAAATGTGAGAGCTTCGCAGTGCTGCGCATCGAGGTCCCAACAAGCTTTCATCCCCAGCAGTGCCTTCCTGTTTGGACTGGTGATGTGCGCGCTAGGGCATCGCACCTTAGGCGGGAATGTCGAAAGGGAATTTGATTTGGACTTCTGAACCGACAGAAACCGGAGTTGCACCAAGCCACATCGGTCCATTTGTCCGTTGGTGGGCTAGGATTGCACCCATCATTTGGATGCACTCCCATTTGTGGAGAGGGTGCGACCATTTACTCTGACTTCTTTTTCATGAACACAGAGGAGGGGTCACAACCTTGGGCTGCTCAAACAGCTTCAACAACAAATCCCTCGTTTTGGTCTCGAAAAGGAGAGGACGCCAGAAGTGCGGTCTTCTAGAAAGGCCATCCATGATGGAGCCCTCGCACGTTCCCATCACATCCAACAGACAGTGGCTGTCCTGAAAAAGCAGTTTCTTTCCCCCATGTGCCAGGCATGTTGGCGGTCTACTTCGCGGGCCAATCCAGTTTTGCGCTCTACATGAAATTGGTCCTTTCAGAGGAGACCATCTCCCGGGAACTGAACCTCCGTGGGATGCCAGCGGCTTTCTTGGTCACCGCCATCCAACAGGTGACTGCAGGGCCAAGGTAAAAGGATGTCGAAATGACTGTTCAACGCGCAGGAGTCGCATGTTTGTTCATTGGCATTGTCAGTTTCTTCCGTGTGCCGAGGGCAAAAGGGGTTGGGAGGAAACAAAGTGTGCCACTACCTCCTGAGAATTGAGAATTAGGCTGAGAATGTGGCACATAGGCACATAGGTGATTGAGCAGCGGTTGAAGCCCTGAAGGGCCTGGATATGCCATTTATAAATATATATATATAGGTCATAGGTCAAGCAGCCACTCACTGGAGACCCCCAGGTCTTCGAGAGATCTTGCAAACTTGGTAGCTATAGAAGAAGCCGTTGTAGGTTCAGGTGGGCTCAGGCGAGGCTGATTCGTTCGGACCGTTAGGAGGGGCGGATTATGAAACAGAATAGCCTAGGTATGGCTGAAGTCGTGGCAGCCACTATGCAGGAAGTTCCTGAATCCCTTCCCCACCTGCTATCGGGACAACGACCTGATATGTTGACCTACACTGACCTGTGAGGGTTTTCATGGGTTTTCCCCTCATTCAGGTGGTTGCCTTCATCTCTTTGGGCCTTTTGACACTTGGCGGAAGATGGGCCTTTGGGAGAGCGAGGGCCTTCGGACTGGACGGCAGGCGTCGGGCGCAGGAGTTGTGAGGATTGGACTGGCCAAAGTTGGTTGAAACATGGTGGGACCGGGCCCC